GTTTCGGCCGAGAGGTAGAAGAAAAGATAGAGAATAGATAAGGAGCTTTGCATGAAGGGTAATAAGAGTCTAGATGTATGTGATTATCTAGATACATGCTATATAATCATGTGTTAGCAATGTTTAAATCAACCTCCTTCCATTCATTATATATATATATATATATATATATATATTATCTTGGGCCGAGAATTTGAGCTAAAGAAAGTGGTGATGAAATGATTTGGGCCCTTTCTTGGTTTAGTTCGAATTTATGGAGCCCAATAATGATTTTTGGCCCATTGGGCCCTTGTAAGTGTTCACAGCCCAATATGGTATAAAGGAATGGGTTTATCACCCATTAGGTCTTATTAATTCATTTACGGTCCAACAAGGCCCATTAGAATTAAGATAAACCATTTTATGAATATAGGTCCATTTAGAGCCCATTTAAGGGTTCTAAGCCCAAAATAGTCAAGTTGAGTGCTTATTGTTCATTAGGCCCAATAAGAAAATCCTAGTTCATTTGAACATGAACCGGGATTCTTAGAATTTTCAACTCCCAATTGACTTTCTGAAATGTTTAGTATAGAGTTTTGAACTTTACTTGAAGAACCTTGATTGAATTTGTTGTCATTGATTGAGCACAGTGTTTGATATCAATAAAAATTACATGTATCAAAACGGATGATGTTTACAAGAGTACAAAATTTCCTAGCTAGATCGCTAGTTGTGACATTTTAACTTAGTAAGTATACTCGATTTGGTTTTCACTTAGTAAATATATCGTCCCTAATAACATTTCTTCCCTCCATTAGTGTTTTACCATCCTTGTTTTCTTTCTTCCATTATCATTTATTAGTTCACCCTAGTGAAGTATATTGTTTTCCACCGTCACCAAGGTCAAAGATAATCAATGTTATTGTTTCCTTATTGTGACAACCGTCAATTTCCGGTCAAGTCAGAGTCAACTAAAGTTAACAAGTCAAACCGGTCGACTCAATTAACCCTTGTGTACTAGGGCTTACGTTAGGTAATTACTATACAACTCGCTATTCTAATGAGAAATCATCAATTGAAAAGTTCGTATATCTAGATTTTCCTTAACCTAAAATTATGGTAAGTAATGAACTAAACCGATAAAACAATGTTGCATACTCATCGGGAGTGTGTAAGATCCTTAAATATAGCTTAAAGGGGTTTACGGACCTTGCATTGCGAAGCCAAACACTCAAAAAGTTCACAAAAGATGCCTCTCCCAATCTCTTTCACTATATCTCTCTTTATTTAAAATCTCTCTCTAATCTCTCCCAAATCTCTCAAAGAATGTAAAATCTCTCCCAAATTTCTCTAAGTATGAGAAATCTCTCCAAGTATGTGAAATCTCTCCCAAATCTCTCCAAGTATGTGAAATCTCTCCCAAATCTCTCTAAGTATGAGAAATCTCTCCAAGTATGTGAAATCTCTCCCAAATCTCTCTCAAAAGTTCCTTTAACTTTTTATAGACTTTCAGGTTATCCTGACCCTTAACCGGGTCAAAAACCACTTGAAACGGGGTAAAAACGGGTAAAATAACCTTAAGGAACCGAAACCCTCCTATTAGAAGCAAAGCCTCTTAGGACCGAAGGTCCCCTATACGGACCGAACTCTGCTGAGGACCGAAGCCGAGACCAGTAGGACCGAGCTGAGGAGGAGAACCGAACCTCGCATAGACCGAACCCGAAGGTCCTCTCGGACCGAACCCTACCTTCGCCTTCGCTTCTAACCCCTTTCGCTCCTTTTCGCCTTCGGGCCCAGCAGCATTAGGGACCGAACCTTGGCCCAGAACCGAGACGTCTTGCAGGTAGGCTAAATTCACCCAGTTTTCGACTAGTTTTGCATCGGGAGTGTGTAAGATCCTTAAACATGGCTTAACGGGGCTTACGGATCTTGCGTTGCGGAGCCAAGCAATCAAAAAGGTCACAAAAGAAGCCTCTCCCGATCTCTTTCACTCTATCTCACTCTATTTAAAATCTCTCCCAAATCTCTCTAAGTATGAGAAATCTCTCCAATTATGTGAAATCTCTCCCAAATCTCTCTAAGTATGAGAAATCTCTCCAAGTATGTGAAATCTCTCCCAAATCTCTCTAAATATGAGAAATCTCTCCAAGTATGTAAATCTCTCCCAAATCTCTCTAAGTATGAGAAATCTCTCCAAGTATGTGAAATCTCTTCCAAATCTCTCTCAAAATTTCCTTTAACTTTATGTAATCATTCGGGTCATCCCGAACCTTAATCGGGTCAAAAACTGCTTAAAACAGGGTAAAAACGGGTAAAATAGCCTTAAGGACCCGAAACCCACTCTCTAGGGGCGAACCCTCTTAGAACTAAAGGTCCCTATAGGGACCCAACTGCTGAAGAACCGAAACCATCAGGACCGAACCCGAACCTTGCACCAGGGACCGAACCAAGCTTCTAGCCTTCGGACCGAACCTCCTCTCGCCTTCGGTTTATTTCACTTCTCGCCCAAGTTCGCTCCTAACCACCTTCGCCTTCGGTTCCCACCAAGCAACTGAACCCTCGCACCTTTAGTTCCCCATGCGAGAAGCCTCGCAGACTTCGCCTTTCTTCCTGATTTTCGACCACTACTTCGTGTTAGGCTCGTTTTTCATCATTTTAACGTGAGATTTTCACCCAAAACTTTATTTTAACAATTAAAGCCTCAAATTTCATTAATCCCCACGTTTTTAGTGCCAATCATATCCAAGATTTAGTGGTTGAAGTACATGGGGGTGGAGTGTTGACTTTTCTTTTATTTATGACACAAGCAACCACCCATACCCACTCTATGACCAACCCACACCCCTCCCCACCATACCTAGTCGCTTCCTTGTATTTTTCCATCAATCTCCATCCAATCCCACGTACTAAGAGCTGGAAAACTTACCCTCTCTCCTCATTCTCACTCATTTCTCTCATTTCCACCCAAAGAGCAAACATCTTTTCTCTCAAATTCTCTCTCACAATTTCGAGATTTCCAAGGCATTTTCAAGCTTTTCATCTACTCTTGGTAAGTATTATCATCCTCCATTTGATTATTTCACTCCTTCTTCACTCAAATCATGAGTTCCTTACACAAATATCGTCATATTTGTTGTTAGATCTTCGAAATCTTCAAGCATCATCTAAGTGTTCTTGAGTTGAACACTTCTTTACTTCATCATCCATCTAATGAAATCACTCAAGTTGAGTTCATACCCCTATCTTTTCATGTTTTTCTTAAGTTTAAGGGTGGGGGGGTGGGGGGGGGGGGAGTACAAGTTAAAACACCAAGAACACAACTAAACTCAAACAACAACTTTCATTAGAAAAGTTGAGTCTTATTCACAGACTGTTTTGACTATCTTAAACTTAATATCTTTCAAAAATGTATTAGGTGCAAATAGTTCAGGTTCACACCTTTAAAATGACTGCTTGCACATCTCCATACGATTTTTCTACAATTTATGGTGATTTTTACAAAACTGCCTATCATTTCAGAAACAAATTCGGACTAGTCTGTGAATATGAACATTTTAACACAAGTTAAAGACTTCCAAAAATCATAATAAAAATTATGAATAAACTAGATATATTTTATGAACTCTCAAAGTTTACGGATTCAGTTTTCGACTTTGTAAGATTTTTGTGTGCTTTTTCTAAAACAGTGCAAAGCGGTTAAAAACTAGTAACAACTTATAACTTTCATAACACTTTGTATTATGTTGAGCAAAGTGTATAACAATAAGTTCTAAATATTGAATGTATTTTCTTGTTAGTTTATCATCATAAACTGAAATTTAGTCATTCATGATAGGGATTCTTCATTCATTCAAACACATATAATAAGCTATAATAAGCATAGTTTATGGATTTTTACTACATGAGAAAGGTTTTACTCTCAAAAAAAATGGGTTTTTCATATACTACATAATAGTAATAGTTTATGGACTCATAGCATTAATGTATTTTCATAAATGGGATTCTTTTACATTACAAACGTTTTGTATAAACTATAATAGGTATAATTTATGTATCATTTACATTTCAAACTTATTTACCAAAGGTTTTCAGTTCAGTTCACGTAAATCTGTTAATGAATAAATTTGTGAGACGTTCGCTTCGTGTTATCTTCATGGTAAAAAGGTCAAAAGTCCTATAAATTGTAACCAGAGTCTCTTTCACTACTAGAAAAAAGGCCTTTTACGACGCTCATTGCGCGTCATAAAACGCTCAGACGACGCGCAAATGCGTGTCAAGGAAGGCCCTGTCATAAAGAGAGACGACGCGCTTTTGTGCGTCGTCTATAGACGACGCGCATTTACGACGCGCATTTATGACGCGCAGTTACGACACGCAATGCGTATCAAGGAAGGCCCTGTCATAAAGGAAGACGATACGCATTCGCGTGTCGTAACCTTACGACGCGCGTGTTAATGACACGCAATGCGTATCAAGAAAGCCTCTGTCAAGAAAGGCCATGTCATAAATGAAGATGACACGCATGTTTGCGTATCATAATTTTAAATGTTAAAAAAAATTTATTTTTTATAGATTTACTAATTTTCAAATTAAATTTGCATTTAATGCCTCACAATATAAAATAAAATATCATATACAAAAAATATAATCCATTTCATAAAATTTAATATCATACAAATAAAATACCATAAACAACAAAGATAATTCATTTCACTAATATGTCAAATACAAATAATTCATTTTAATTAAAAAAATTACAAATTAATATCACCGGTAACAATGTCAGGCTGCAAAACATTAAAAAAGTTATTCTACAATCTATATATACATGAAGGAAAAGATCATACTATCCATACCAATGCATAATCCTTCATGAAGCATCTATACACCAAGCCAACCAGATAAGAATTAAAGACACAGTGATGCATTATGAAATCATAAGTTAAAATGATGAACAATGAGAGTTCAAGTTAAAAAACTTAGTCAAATAGTAAAATGATTGATGAAAAGTACCTTGAATTTCATCTGCTTCCTCTTTTTCTGATATGATCAAGCCATAAGCTTCTTATATAAATGTAGTAAATTTTGTCCCTACTATCGAAAATATCCTCCCCCACAAAAAGATTTGAAAATCTTTCTTTCATCATTTCAAGCTCTGATATAACAAATTAAAATAAAAAATGATCAAAATTATGTGAATAAATTAATTGAATTGTAATAAAAACTCACCAAAATCAGTAGGTTTCTGATCTTGTCTGTGGTTATGCCTAATTTCACAAAATCTTGAAAAGACTTGGTTGATAAGGTGATCTTCCTGAAGTTGGCCCTTTCTGATTAAGAAATATCTCCTCTGCCAAATAGCTTCCCTATTTCCCACACCCTACACCAAAATAACGATAAACAAAAAATTCCAAAAGTTTAAGAAATCACAATGCTGATTGGATTGGATGAAAGCATGAGTGGTTCTAGGAATCAAACCAAGCTTCCAATTAAGAACATCTAACCAACCCTCAGAGTCAGCTTGATCCCAAGGGCGGACAAGACCTTCGTTATCATTATCCTCTCCCTGAAAGATCTTTGCAACTTGCATCAGTCAATGATAACGCGCAGGGGGAAACTGAAATCCAAGGAAAGGAAGCCGCACGACCAATCTTTTTGTGGGGAAAGATGGATTCTCTGATTGGATCTAGATGGAGAGATGAAGTGTTATCAACTGACAACATATAATTATAATAATCATGTTTCAAACATGAAATGAATATACCTGTTGAAGCTTACAAGTCACACCACACTTATCAATAATAGGCAAGAAACTAACGATACTAGACTGCGAAGAACCGCCAAATCCTCCTATCAACGAACGTTGACTCCAATGATAGTTACCATCAACAAAAAAAGCAGATACATCACTTAATACTACACCAAATTGGAGATAAATATCCTTCTTGTGAGAAACGTCATCATCATCATCATCATCATCATCATCATCATCCTGTGCATGTTTGAGAAATTTTATGAAAAATTTATCAATCAAGGATATTTGGGTTGATCAAAGAGAAATCACTATGGACCAAACTGAGTACGGATTATCAAGAAAAAACAGATGGTATAATTAGAAAGAGAAATGGACACGCCTATCATCACCTGATGCAGCAGCTGCAGATGCCATTACTGCAAGAATGTTGGCAGTTTTTTTACCCTTCCAACCGCCCAGATGCAAAGAATGCTCGGTATCAAGCGACTATTAAGCAAGGGGATTTCTTGCTCAATCGTATTCAGAATCTCTCTCGTGTTATTGATCTTTAAGTGTTTCTTTCTTTAAGTCTATCTGTAACCTCTCCTTCTTTCCTTCCTTCTTTCCATTTTCCCCAATTCAAGACTCCTCCTAGTAACAGCAAGACTTTTCAAATGTAATAGTTTGTTTTAAGTATTATGATTTTTATTGTGTATCATGATTCTTATGCAACATGAAAATTTTATGTACCATTAGATTAGTATTTAGTAATATTGATTTTGAATTGCTGATTAGTGAGGTTAACAATGATTTCCATCAGCAATTCCATTTTTTTCATACCAAACCAAACCACTACTTAAGTTTTCATTAGGCTGACCTGTGTTGATTTTCCATGTGTTGTGAAAATTATGTTTCGTTTCCATCTTAACCGTGTAACCTTTCAAATTTTTTAAAGTATCAAACTACAAAATTTATTTGCTTTGCTGTAAAAAGAACAGTTCCTTTGCTTTTCAACTTGGTCTTGTAAGAAAAGCGTCTTTAATCTTATTGTATTTGGTATCTTTTTCATCTGTTTGTGGTAAAGGTTAAGACATTAGACATATATAGAAGAGTTAGGTTCTAATTCATCCTCTAGGCATTTTACAGAGCTCACAACCTGATAAAAAAATAAATTCCGAAAATTCATGTTTTTGGTTTTGCACATTTTACAGTTTTCACAGAAGCAGAGTAATGGCCACCACTAGAGATAGTGATGGTTTTTTTATCGATTCCAAGAAGGGAATAACAAAAAATCTTGGATTGGAACAAGAACAACTTAAATTAGAATGAATAATTAAAATGAAATACAAAAACTTTGCAACACAAGGAATATAATGGACTCTGTAGTTTTGATCAGCATCATTTTGAGCTTACTCAAAATACAACAGTCCTGTTGTGTTGATAAGGTAGAACGCGTAACTCACAATATGACTTGATTGCCTTCATAAGGCATTGTTTTTCAAGATTCTCAGATTTCTGAATAAAACTCAGCAAATTATCCTTGTGCGAGACTCTCTCAACCTGCAAACCCAAACAGAAACTATTTGACTTTTCACCTTAGCATATATATACTGCATACTACTGATACTGAGAAACTTAAAACTCTTTGATTACCATCTGCTCAATGATTGGGCCCCCATCAAGCTCTTCCGTGACAAAATGGGTTGTAGCACCAATCAAATTGACCCCAGCTTCAAAAGCCTGTCATTCTCCAGTAAAAAACATAAAAACATAAAAAGCTTAAAACAGAATTTGGAAATTGGAACACAGAACCTGCCTGCCTAGATGGATTTCCTCCCTTGAATGATGGCAATAAGCCATGATGTATGTTGATCACATCCTTCCCATATCTTTTCAAAAAGTTTCCAGACAACACCTGTCCTGGGTAAATAAACAAATAAGACCTTTTTCCCAATCCTGCTGCTATACTACTACTAGAAAAACATTTACCTGCATGTATCTAGCAAGGACCAAGAAATCTGTATCTTCAACCAACCCCAATATCTCATCTTCTACATTCTTCTCCTTTGACTTGGACAGATAATGATATGGAATCTCATGTCTTTCAAGGAACCGCATCACATGGGTATTCCCCACCCTATCATGATTGCTGTTCAAAATACAGACATATTATACACATCATTTACTGGTCAAAGATAACAAATAAAAAAAAAGTTCCATGCTTTACCTGATTACAGAGCTTATCTGAACCGGAAGTTTTCCATCTTGCCAAGCATGCAGTAGATCAACAAGACAATGGTCCTGCACCAGCAACCTCCTTACTAATGTAATACTATTTTTGGTTTTCACTAACAATTTTTTCTAGAAAGAAGAAGAAGAACCTGCTTAGAAGCAAGAAGAGCAATTTTATATTTGGGGTCTACAGAAGGCACTCGAACAAGCGATTTAACTGCATTGAACATCTTTGATAGGTCAAGGAAGTCCTCGTTCATTTGCTTCCGCTGCCATTTAATTGGGTCGAACACAAACTCACTGAAACACAATTTATTCTTACTTGTTACTTATCAACTTCATGTCAAGTTGGGATTATTAGTAGATTAATATACTTGCACTTGTAAAACCAACATACAGGGGAAAAAATCCATTCATTGATTGGGATAAAAAAAAGAAAGATGCCCAACGTATACAGGGGAAAAAATCCATTCATTGATTGGGATAAAAAAACATACAAAAGAAATACGAACCTCCTTTGAAGTCATTCAATCTGGCTAATGCAGAAAACGGATCGTCGTCGGTATCAGCAAGTGATGACTATATTCCTTTTTCTCTATTTCTTCACATCACCATGGCACCTCCGACCCACCACGACCGTCGATGAACACCAACAGCAATCCCTTAAAATGTTATGAAATTGAGGCTGACCCGCCACCGACTGAATCGCCACAGTAGCATATCGCCTGGAGAATCCAAATAAGAAAGAAGAGGTGGGGAAAGGAAGCAGATGGCAGAAGGAAAGGAAAAGAAAGAAAATAAAATAAAAGGAGTCGAGACGAAACCTGAAAGTATTCCACTGGACCAAGAAAAAACCCTAAATCTTCTCATTTTCTGCAATCGATTGTAATAATCACATCAACATGGCACCTCCGACTCACCACCACCGTCGATGAAGACCAATCGGGAAATCGAAGCAGATCTTTACCATTTGCGTTCATAAGAGGTCGGAGTGGATATTAGCGAAAGCAGCGATGGTGGAGAAAATGAGAAAGAGTTAGGGAATCGATGCCCTCTACCAATTAGATCACACGGGACCAACAGTTTTTCCTTCCTCCCAACCCCGAAAGACGTGGAATCAATGCCCTCTATTTTTGGAAGTCGGATCGATGGATACTCGTCCTTGTTAGATTTTTTTAGGCTTCAAAATTGATAGATTTTTTTTTTCGATTCTTTCAAGTTTGAATCAGAAAATGAGAAAGAGTTAGGGAAATCAAGAGTGCAATGCTCGTCCTTGTTAGGTTGAAGATGAAAGATAGATAGAAGATAGAAAAAAAAAGGCGGGTTTTCAAAATTTTGGGGATTTCATTTCCCCCCTTGTCTACTAAAAGCGCGTTTCATTAAAATTATAAAGCGACAGGTACAGACGACGCGCGTTTAAGATAAAGCGCCCTCCGTGTTTTTAATTTTTTTTCTTGAGACACCAAATTAAGGGTACGCAATAAAGCGTGACGTAAATCCTTAAATTTTTTGGAGAGATGACACTATTTTAAGGGCACGTCCTTTTGCGTATCGTTAATTATCGCGTGTCGTAAAAAGCGCGTCATTAAAGGTCTTTTTTCTAGTAGTGTTTTAGGGAGAGCGTGATAGTTGTGTATAGATCTATATTGCGTCTGACAAGCCCGCACCTGAGCTGTTTGCAACAGCTAGACAAGCAGGTCTGAGGTGACAAGTGTCATTTAACGTGCGACGCCTGAAGAACGTCGTATTACGAGGCCGTCTGAGTCTTAGCATGGTTATAAATAACTCACATGTGGTATTAACAAAACATAAGATTTACGAGTTCT